ATTAACAAGCAGTATAGAAGGATTTTAGCTGTGAGAATCTCTAAAAGTGTATGCTGAAGCAAATGGCAAGCTAAGGAAATCTGGAGAGGGGAAAAAAAAAAAAAAAAAAAAGGACTAGTTTATGGCCATAACCTATTCTATATCCCTATGCAAAAAAGGCAGCCTCAGAGAAGGAGTAAGAAACACTGTTGCTCACACATCGGTTCAAGCAGTTCTAGTGCTTACAAAAGTCTGGATTGCAAACAAAGGGCTGGTCTACACCCAGCCGGTAGTTCGGCGGCTGGGGATCGAAGTTCTGGGTTCGACTTATCGCGTCTGGTCTGGACGTGATAAGTCGAACCAGGAAGTGCTCGCCGTCGACTGCGGTACTCCAGCTCGGCGAGAGGAGTACCGCGGAGTCGACGGGGAGCCTGCCTGCCGCGTGTGGACCGCGTCTGAACCGCGGTAAGTTCGAACTAAGGTATGTCGACTTCAGCTACGTTATTCACGTAGCTGAAGTTGCGTACCTTAGTTCGACTTGGGGGGTTAGTGTAGACCAGGCCAAAGTTATTTACCTGTTCCGCGATGTAAAACGTGTGACTGTTTGTCTGTGGATGAAACCAACAGCAGCGAAAGGTCTCTCCCAAAATGGGGTTATATGGCTTTTTTATTCCCTGTAAAATAAAAAGACACAAATCTCATGCACACACAGCTATGGAAATATTACAGCATGGAATGCATGCTTGGGAGCTGTGTTCTTCTTGGTGTGGACATGGCCCCAGGACCCAAAAGTTACTACCAATGAAAATTGATTATCCAATCTTACAAATGGGGAAAAAACAGAAAGAGCGATCAAGTGACTTTCCCAAGGTTCTACAGCAAATCAAATGGCAAAGTCAGTGACAAAACCCCAGCGCGTCTGACTCTCATCCTCTGTCTACTCGAACCACTTCCACCTGATCCACGGACTGATCTATAGCCTCTGCTAACTTGGCCATTGAAATCTACTGATGAAAAGAGTTACAGTACATTGTTATTACTACACACAGCAGCTACATGCAGATTCAGAGATCTAGTAATATGTGGTTAGAACTTGTGAAGAGAAAAGACTCCTGATATTGCACCATAAGCAGTGTTGACCCTAATTAACAATTAACAGAGTGTTCTCTGTGGCACACGACCAACCCTAGCTTCCTTTGTCCAGTGCCAGAGATCTGAGCCCATTTCTGATAAACTGCTGCCATTCCCTGCCCACCCCCCCACCCATGTCCCACGTAAATTCGGTTTTAAATTAGTAAAATGGTAAGAACAACAAAAGGAGAAATGAATTATCAAGAGAAAGGCAAGAAAACAAATCCAAACTATACAAGCAATAGGTTTGAATCTTTACTATATCTACAAGGTTTAAGCAAGGTCTTACCTTTGGCTTCTTATAAAAGCCTGACAAATACCATCTCAAAACTTGCTTGATTCGACTGTATGAATCGTCTTCGAGTGCAGCTCTGTAGTAGAAGGGACATGGGATGTTTACTCAAAGTAATTTTTGAACTGTTTACGTGTCTGATTCACCACTGTGTGACTCCAGCCTAATGCCATTGATTTTTCAGCATTGCACCAGCATAAAACTGAGTAAGGCAGTGATGAATCAGGCCCTACATGTCTTGACAAACACTATGCTGCTTCTATTGAAGGGGCAAGTACATCACCCAGTGGATACTGGTTTCTTAGTGGTGTACGCCAGTCAAACACACAAACTGTGGGATTTCCTGGAAGTGACTGGCAGGTACGTGCCCCACTAAAAATCCCAATGCAATAATCTCAGTTTTAGGGCAATAATCTGGCTTTAGGGTTGCCACCTGATCTGAAATTGTGTAGAGGTCATAAGATAGTAACTGGTCCAGTCCTATTGCTCAAAATCAACCAACACCTCTAACTTCTTTGGAGAATCAGAAGTTTAGCTCTTGCCTGACCCCTTTAAATCTTCCCAGCTTTAGGCTAGGTCTACACTGGGGGGGGGGGGGGGGTGTCGATTTAAGATACACAAATTCAGCTACGCGAATAGTGTAGCTGAATTCGACGTATCTGAGCCGACTTACCCCGCTGTGAGGACGGCGGCAAATCGACCGCCGCGGCTCCCCCGTCAACGGCACTTACTCCTACCTGCGCTGGTGGAGTACGCGCATCGATTTGGGGATCGATGGTCGCGTCCCGACGAGACGCGATAATTCGATCCCCGAGAGATTGATTTCTACCCGCTGATCCAGGCGGGTAGTGAAGACAAGCTCTTAGATGGGGCAGGAAGTGATCTTGTGATGAAACTTTCCTCAGTGTATTTCCATTCTTCAGTGTATTTCCAACCTGATACAGAACTGGAAGTCTACTGAGAAGTAACGTCCGGACTTCAAGATGCCTATCTGAATAAAACCTCCAACCTTCCTGACGTTCACCTAGCCATCAGTAATAGCCAGGGTAAACACAGTCACCTAGCAAGCTGCATCTTACAAACAGTGTAACTGGATCTCGACAAATAAGCTCGAAAATGCCCCGGGATTTTAAGAAAAGCTGAAGGCAACAGAATAATAATAAAGCACAAACCATCCATGTGATGTTATACATGAATATTGCATATTTTCAATTTGTTAGAACATGCCAAGCATGCCCATTCAAGAGGCAAAATATTTAGTATTTTCCACTCTGCCCTCCAAAAAACTGCTCAGTTCAATGGAGTTAGAAGAAGAGCCCCTATTTATCTCCAAGTGCCACTAATTATATTGGTTTCAGGTGGTGGCAGTTTGCTTAAACATATTCTCCTGTAAACTTTGTCCTACAAATCTCTTTCCACAGGTACACCAGAAGGTGGAGTAGTACTATTATTGTAGGCTTATAATAAGTAACAGGATCTCTGTCCATTCCAGCCCGTACTTGAGGGAAGGGTGCATAGGAAGCTTTGTCAAGAGTTTCCCCGTTTTCCTTACTTCCCCGCACACCCCTGGTTTCCACTGGGAACAGTCTGTTTTTAAAGGTCACTGATGTTGACTCCTGAACTAATTTACAGCTACACAGATCAAACTAGAAACTCATGCATTATTTGGGAGACTTCTCAAGCATACAAATGGCCCAGCCAGAACCAGATTAATGCTAGCACACATGTTCACACAGCTGGGAAACACATCCCTGCTAAGCCTGCCATAAGTGCTGCTTACTGGGAAAGTAGGTCAGCATGGTAGTAATAATCAGAGAGTTTGTTGAGGAAAGAACGTGGCTCCAGGATGAAGGTGGGCAGAACCACTCGGGACAAGTCCATGCCAGGCCGCAGCTGTTTCAACAGAATCCACATCAAGCTCTTGTTTTCTTCCGAGACCGTTTCTGTTTGAGAGGATTCACCCGTCTAAATGAAAGAAGAAAAAGTCAGCACAGAAGGCAACGGTTAAAGCAAAGCGAATATGCCTGGATGGCCCAAGGGAATTGAGAATGGTAAAATCCTCCATGTCAACAGTTCAAACCTGCCTTAGGTCAACAGGGAGCGAAAGTCATTACAGTATGTAATGGTGGTTGTGTAGAATGAGTGATATTCTCACTCTTACTCTGGACAGAAAAAAAGACTGCAAAACCCACCATCTTGTTGACAATCTTAGCAGAGGGACCAATGGCTGAAGAGACAATGTAGAGTGGAAGCGGTCCTTCACGATCGAACATACTAGTGGGGCAAGCGTGACACAGTTTACACTGCCATGGTCCCTTGTAGCGGGGTGGACACCCCCTCCTGCCTGGAAGGGCTTGAAAGCGGCCCTGGAGAGGGCTGCAACTCTAAAAGCTGGGCTGATTGGGGAAGCGGCCGCAGCTGGGCCCAGGGGTGAAAGTAACTTACAGGACTTAGCGGTACTGCCGGAGTCCTGAGGGGGGCTTGGCCTCATCCGGAAGAGGCGTGGCCTCACATGGAAGAGGCGGGGGCCTCCCAGGATTTAAAGGCCCTGGGGCACCGGCTGTGGCTGGGAGCCCCAGGGCCTTTAAATCAACCCAGGGCTCCCAGCTGCAGAGGTGGCTAGGAGCCCCAGGGGCTCACAGGCAAATTAAAGGGCCCGGGGCTCCGGCCACTGTGGAGCTCCAGGCCCTTTAAATCCCCACCGCAGCTCCAGCTGGGATTTAAAAGGCTCAGTGCCCCCGTGGCTGCAGGGAGCCCCGAGCCTTGCTGGGCTGGGGCCGGGATTTAAAGGGCCCAGAACTCCCGTGGGAGCTCC